ATTGTATGCCATTCCACCTGGGACTCCTAACATGGACAGAGGTAATCAGCTCCACTCTAGCACCTCGATTCCCTACCCCCAGGACTGCAGTGCTAAGGAAGCACAGCCGTGTTAAGTCCTCAGCCTTTCCTTGCCCCTCGTCTCTTTGACCACCAGGCTTGGTCTGGCCAATGCTGTGGGTAACCACTGCCCTCTGCTGGCTACACAAGCACTGGCAGTCATTCAGACCTAAGGGCAACTGCCATCACTTTCTCCACTCATTTCAATTCAGTCTCAGCACTAACCAAATTTGTGCCTAAGACTTCAATCCTTGGGACACGGCACTCTGTCTCAACTATCGATATGGAATGAAAAGTCTGCCTCAAGCCCCCAAATGCTCACTCCGAAAATCTGGCCCTTTAGGCCCCAGCCCTTTATAGGTAAGAAAAGTAAAGCAGAGAGGATGCTTTTGTGGAGAATTGGATGGTGTAGAACAACTCTTCTCTGAGGTGGGCCTGGGGAAAGTAAGTAGTAACTACATTACAGGAACCAGTTTTGATATTGGCAAGACCCCTAAGAAGCCAGGGCCTTGTCCCTTATGAAAGGAATAAGGGAGAAAGGTCCCAGGAGACTGGGTAGAGGGAGTAGGGAGGGAGGGTAAGGCTGATGACTTCAGTACCTTGATTCCAGATCTGTTCTTTTTTCACTTACAAGGCAAGAAGGGCCTCGAAGTGTAGCACAAGGACTTGGACACATTCATTCCTCATCCTGAGGGTGAACTTTTGTTTGGTTATCAAGTGGGGAATTCCACTGATACCCAATCTAAATGGTGTTTCTGTATCCATACACAAGATGTCAGCCCAAGCTGGAAGGCCTTGGGTTGCTTCTCTTCTGTAATGCCATGTCAGGGACCCAGGAAAGGCACATTTATTTGAGGGTGTCATCGGTACAGAGCCCCTCTCTCTCTCTGGGAGTCCCTTAATGATAATACTTTCTCACACACAAAACAAAACCTCAAGCTTACTTAGGAGGCATTTTTTTAGCACAAACCAATCTTCTAAACTCTATAAGGAGAGACACATGCGGACAAAACTACCAATGGGGTAAATATCTTTTTCCCACCCATCATTCTGGCTAACCTGCCCTTTCCAGATAGCCTCACATCACTGAAGCAAGCAGAGGTACCATTATAAAGGCTGCTTCTAATGACAGTACGGCAGAAGACCACTATTTAGGGGGCACCTCCATTTTGGTCTGAGCACCTATTCATGAAGGTGATTTTTTTTTTTACCTTCTAGAGCAGCCACCTGAGGGCAGCACACATCCTTCTACTGTTGTATGGAGATCTCTCCTACTAACAATCTCACTTGTCACCTTTGAATATAGCCAGAACTTGAAGAAAACCTAGAACCTAGATATAGTTTCTTTGTCAAGACTGAGACTCCCTACCAATCTATAACACTCCCAGATAACCTTCTTCCCCAATCAAGGACCACCCTTAACCACCTTCACTTACTATAGCCACAGCTCAAACCTGGGACACTGCCCTTACAAAAACAAAACACCTTAGCTCTTCCCTCCCCTGCCCAATAACAGCCTTAGTCCTGGACACTGGCAGCTATGCTGAGAAGCAACACTACAAATCAGACAAACCGGTTTTCTTAAGTTACTAAACTGTAAATTTCAAGAATGCCTATACTTACAGTATCATACAGAATGTGAACTTGCCTCATCTTCTCTCTAGATTACAAATTCATGTGTCCTTCTCTATAATCCCACAACAAGCCAGCAGAATTGGACTAAATCTAGTCCAAATAAGTCAAACTGGTGTGCTTCAAATCTTAACTCTGGAGAAGACTCTCTTGGCAGGCACACAAGTGCTTGAAGCCTAGCTGACTTTTCCCAATCACTTTCTCTGGAGGCCTAGGCCCTGAAACAATACATGCAAAGTATTTTAAAAATTCCACCTGAAATTTTTAAATTAGCACTTTATAGAGTGAAAAGTTCAAATCTGAAAGGCCTTAAGATCTTCAGGGGGTTGAAAACCCACCCAGAGCCTTCAGGGTTGGTCCATGGATTAAAGTTCTTTCAGTCTGGAGCCCAAACAGATTGCTCACCTTTTCCTTAAAGGTAGGTTGGGTATGTCATCACTAATAAGTTTGAACAGGTGCTAAATACATTAACCAAAAAGAGTTCTGTTAACCTCTGTATCTAGAGATTACTGGGCATAGGCTATCAGTCAGAAACCTGTTCCTTGCTACTTTAAAGAATAACTTTGGCACCAAGTTCTCACAGGGTTCTCTTTCAAAGACAAACAGTTCTTTTTGGTTCCTTTTTCAAGGATGCCAAAGCACTACCTACATTGCTGCATGAAAACACGTAGATGGGTCAGGCTTAGGAAGGATGCTTCGTACCCTTCCTTCAGAAATTAAACCAAGTCCTTCCATTTCATGGACGTCCAAAGCCCACGCTAGGCCCATTAAGATCCTATCTGGAGGACTGAGAGACTTCAGAGGAGCCGAGTTGTTTAGGTTTTAGCCTGTTGAAGAATTGAACACACTTAAACTAAGCAAAGACCTTGATAAAAAATCATGCAGATCATGAAAAACGTCAACATGAAGTGTAAAGAGTCAGATGCTTGGTTCCAAAATACAGGCTCCTAGGCAAGTCTTTTAACTCATCTTTAAAACTGGACTGTAGCTAAAATGCTCTAACTTGGCCTTAACACCTGGGGGTTATTAGAATGAGACAAGATATTTATAGTAGAACGCACTCTGAAGTACCACAAAATTGCAAGGTATTAAGATGAAAATAATCGCTATAACTTAACAATGTTTTTTTGCTGGCTTCTACCAGTCCAAAGCTACTGTGAAAATCTGTTACAGATTTTGGTCACAACATTTCACCAAATACGAGTTCATGCAACTACATTCATTCTTTTGGGTTCAGATCACTGCCTAAACTACCAGAGTGGTGACGATGTAGCAATATGTTGATGGTAAAAACGAAGACTAAAGTTTTTCAAATTTGGTGAAGGGCAAATCCATGAGGGAACATCCCTTCCTTGAATGATCTTGGCTCTAGCTTTTATGCCTCTGGTCATATTCCAGCAGTAATATGCATGTGGTTACACTAAACTCAATGACTATTATAATATTTAAACCTTTAAATAAAAGGAGACCTAACTTTACAACCAGACAAACCTCATTTGTATCATGGATCATACCCATTTAAGTTGGTGTCCACTACAAGGTAGTTTACTACCCAGGATAAACCACCTACATTTGTTTAAAGAAGCCAGTTTCCTCACTTGGAAATCAGCCCAAATGACTTGTCAAGTCAGTAGTACAAATTCTAATCATTCAATTATAGGACTTTTCAGGTATTCCTTCTCTCTCGCAGGCATTATCCTATGTAATGGCCATCTTTCCCTTAATGTCAGAACGCATTGTTGCTGGTTGGTTGGTTGGTTGTTTTTTTTTGGTCAAAAGGGCAAATCACAAATAAAAATGGGATAAAATAGATGCCTAGAATTTAAAAAATGCTTATAGTTTATCTGAATAATGGGAAGAAAGCAATGGAGTAGACTTCCCAAATCTCAAGTACCTTTTTTATATGGAAGATGCAGCAGGTTAGTATTTACCAAGGGTATCATTACCTTAATTCAAGCCAAAGTTTTCAACACACCAAATATAGTTATAGATGAATAATCTGCATGGCAATTAAGTAATATTTAAGATACTCCAGTCTTAATAAGCAGCAGTTAGAATGGTCCTCAACTACCCAGTTATTAAAATGCTAAGGGGGAAAAAAAGTTATTTTTATAACTTTGGACAGCAAAAATACATTTATTTGTATGTCGTCTTTGATTTAGGAAACAGACTTTCCCTTAATAACAAGTCAAATGTCAGAGTAAAGTGGAGTGGGGATGAGGTGCCTGAAAAATAGGATCAGTTGAAGCTCTCTTCATGTAGTTTTACGTTAGGGATTCTAATTCATCCTATTCCTTTCCTTCCTTTAAAATCTCTTAAGGTACTTCCTTTTGTCTTCAGGAAACCACCAAAAGTGTAGAAATTGGCAAGTTAATGTCACTTTGTTGTTGTAGTCCTATACAAAGTGTAATGTTATAAAATCTCATTAGCAAATAAGGAGTAATTTCACACATGGAACTGTATTGGCTACAATTTAACACTTGTATATACCCAAACCACCATAAGAGGAAAGGTCATATAATCACATTTTGGCTTTTCTGCAGGTCTCTTTCAAATAACTACAGTGATACTCCTGGTATGTTTGCATGTAAACAGCTCAATCATCTATAGGGAATTTTTGCTTTTGAGTTCTGTGTGACATCATCTCTTTTGCTTAATTGCTTTGTAAAATGGGAGAGCCATCTTTCAGCTCTTCAGTGATCAAGCACATGCCTTCCCCAAATAGAAAAAAAAAAGGTAAAAATGCATTCTACCTCAAACACAAATGTTTGAGATTATCCAAAGTTTATTGTACCCTTTCGTTAAGGGCTTCTAAGACATGCTAGTATCAGACTTTATCTAGTGCTTCAAAATAATTATGAGACTCTACCTAGTGAGGGGATCTAAAAATTACATGAAACTATTTTTGGTAGACAAGATAAGTCACTCAGTAATAGGGATAAACGTCTGCTCAAATTAAGTTTAATTTCAGGGGAAAAGTAGCAACTATACATCTATGGCAGCAATGGAAGGCCTCATCTTTATTTGTCCATAATACTGTGGTTAGAGTAATTCAAGTTAGATATAGTGCTCAAGCATAACTAGTTCAAAGCTCAGTATCATTTTTTTTTTCCCAAAACCTTTCTCCTTTCATGGAGAGTGGTTATGAAGGAAAAAACCTCCTCTTAGACAAAGCAGGATGTGGAAAATACTAAATGACAAAAGTATCAGAAAGAATGCAAGAAAAACAAGCCGTGGAGTTAAGTATCACATCTAGGTTCAAAGTTGCATGACCAGTGAGACACTAAGAGATAAGACAAGTTGAACAAATTTAAACCAAAAGCAGTGGACATTTATTCCTCAGTTTTTTGTGCAAGAGTGTAGAGACGCATTTGGAAAATGGATGGGACAAAACCTCAGATCTAAAGGTGTTGCTTTGTGGTGACCTGGTTTACAATTAAATCCAGAGAAGAAAAACTTGTAACTCACCTAGTTCATGGAACGCTTCTGGCAAAGACACTGGTTTACAAGTAAAGTTTCCAACTACATCTTTTACTAGAGTCAAGTGAAGACTTCAAAAAGTCACATACAAGTACAATTTTAAACTGAATGAACATCTTGCAATTGTTAGTGCAAAGTAATAATGTAGATTTCTTCATTATGAAATTGTGCTGACGTTCTGCAGGTTTGTTAAATTTTACTCTTTTAACATTTGATATTCAGTTACAGAGGTTAACTTACTAACCATATAAATGCATTTGTGTCTTATATCCCACACACGGGAATGTCTAAGTTTTCATGACATGTTGCTTAGATTTTCATTAATAAAGTAAACTTCTTATTTGGTTTAACAGTCATGTTCCTTGCACACTAAACATTTAAATTTTATCGAGGTGCTTTTAAACTTATGTTCCTATCTCATTTGGTCAAATTTAATACACAGCCTTTCACTATGTAAACTGTGATTTTTTCATGATTTTGAAATGTAACTGGTCTGAATGCAGAAGTTGGGGTGGGGGTAGGGGAAGAGGGAGGGTGTAGAATCCACCACTAATCTCAGCTAGACAAACTGTTCTTGAAATTAAAAAAGCCTGTTCACACAAAATTATATGTAATGACTGTAGTAATCAGTTTATTACACAGATTAATCATTCTTGAACGTACAAGCTCCAGAGGAGCAATTGGGTCTTTAAATATACACAAGTATTTCTGTCAAATGAATTTTTACCCTTACATCCAGATAGACCTAAGCAGTTAAAAAACATAAGAAAAATTAAGAGCTATTAGCTATGTATTAACTGAGAAACCACATACAAACCAAAAAGTATTGGGGGGAAAGGGGGTGATGGAGAAGAGCTGAAAAAAAAAAAAAAACAAAACACCCATCACTTTATGTACTAATAGCTCCAATCCATTTAAATGTTGACCAGTTAAACTTAGACCTTAAAATACAGGATGTGGGTACAGTTTAATCTTGTTGGTCGAAACATTTACCTAAGATGTAGGTCCTTCAGAATAAAATGAATACAGAAACAGCTTGACGTTCTTCACCTTGCTTTTCATAACTGTTATGAGTTTAAAAGGATTCCACTTTTTAAAAAATTCTCCCACAGGTCAGTGTAACTGTCCTCCCCCACCCCAAGCCATACAACACCCACCCCTGCGCCCTTGCATTGTTTATCCAATTAAGTCAATAAGGAAAGCTTTTAGTCTCACAACTAGGTTATGACTGAAGAACTGGCTTTTCACACACACACTTCTTTGCTAGGAGTCAATGTTGGTACGGGAAATACAGTATTTCTATTTTGTTGTTCCAAGTATGTACAACACGCAGCACTGCTGTATCAGGTAAACATGTGCACAGGGGAAGATGAGGCGTGGGCTCATAGAAAGCAGTCAAATGGAAATCAAAAGGACTTTCTCTTTCAGAGTTCCCCTATCTTTATTTGTAGAGGTTATCCAATAATTTCTTTAATTACATCGCATACTTCTGAGTCCATTCCCGAGCTATTCTGTTGTACCTGTACATACAAAGAGAGGGTTGGCTTAATAATACATGTCAACTTCAGTTACTTAGCAGACTTTAGGTACTAAGTGGAAAGACTGAAAACTTTCTGTAGAAGTAGACACCTTCCCAGCCCAGTTATCTAATTTGTATTTATTTAAAAAAAACCCAAGGGGAAGATGGGTATTAGGCTGAAAAAGGGAAACAATCCTCACTCTCTTCACTCCCTCCCCCGAAAAAACAGAGAAATGCTATATATTTCAAAACAAGACCACAGTACAAAGTACTCATAACTTGATCCGAAAAAAAAAAAAAAGAAAAAAAAAGTAAAGCATTTAAATAGAGGTATATACCAGTCTCTGAGCAAGTGCTAAGCTTATTCTGTATTTGTGGTTGGCCTTCTACTGCCAAGAAAAATCTTAAATTCATTACCTCTGGCATACTTGAGACTGTATAATTTTCACAGGAGCCCTGTACATAAAGGCTTTTAATTTCTGCAATAGCTGCTTTTGGCAGAACTTAATCAACCTGGATAATGATATAGGTGACTTACTGTTCTAGAAAAAGTTACATTTAATTCAAATTGTCCAGTATGAAAAGATTTAAACAGAACAAATATTCTGTAAGTCTTCCATTAGACAGGAGTGGAGTTGAAAATTCTTCTGCTAGCTGACCCACAACCCCACAGAAAGGAAAAGAGGCAAAATTTGGTCCATTTTATTCCAAATACAGTCAAAAAGCTGAATGATCCATATCAAACTATTTCAAGCCTAGCCACTACTCAGCAATTTTACTACAAGATACAAGGATGACCACTGTCAGACCTTAAAAAAAAAAAAGCCAAACTCATTACTCTCAAACAAATTCTAAATCCTTAAAGGAGATCTTCCATGTATCTGTTTAAAACACCACCAACTTTTTGTCCATCATTAAGTTTTTCCCATTTTCTCAGTGAACATCTACAGTAGGGGAGGTTAAAATGCACTTCACATTTTGATACTAACAGATCTTAAATCTTCTGGGATTCTCATTGGAAAGTTCTAAAATGTCTTTGAAACCCAGAATGAAGATTTTACAAGGAAAAAAATCCTATCTTTGTGTTGCACTTATATACTTTTCCCACTAGATGCTGCCAATGGTGATGGTTTCTTTATTCTCGTTGCTTTAGAACTTACATCAATTTGAGTAGTCCATTCACAACGTATGAATTCTTGATGAAAAATATTTATATATTAAATCCCCACTTAGGTATGAAGTTCTAAGTAAATACAAAGGCTTTTTACTAAGGATGCATCAGACAATGACTATCTTTAAACTTTAGTTGAGGTCTAAAGCTGTATCTCCCTTATCTGACTTCCATACTTACTTTTCTCTATCTGTTTTGTAGATCCGTGCAATCTCAGGCACTAAAGGATCATCTGGATTGGGATCACACAACAGAGAACAGATGGACAAGAGTACTAGGAAGAGAACAAACAGCAATTTTAGCAGGGTAATGAGAAAAGTCAAATGACACTTTTCCTGACTCCAGTCAGGACTGTACTTATCAGTTACTCTTACAGATTGTTCTAAGGATTTCAAAAGGTTTTCAGAGTTCTAATTTAAAAAATAGTTAGCATTAAGCAATTAAAGCAAGTCTGGACAAACAGGATACATGTTACTGTAAAATAAAGCATATTCTTGAAAAGAATTTAAAACTATACCAAGCTATACACACCAAACTGACCCAATGATACTATTACTTGGCAAATAGTACAAGGGAAAGATCTTTATACGTACAAAAATATTGTACCAGCACTTTTTGTTTCTGCAAAGAACTAGAAAAAAAGTAGGTATATATCAGCCGATGAATGGCTAAAGAAATTATATGAATGTAATAGGATATTATTGTACAGTAAGAAAGAAAGAAAAAAATAAAGGAACCAGAGAAAAACCATCAGTACACTAATACATAAAAAAATATGAAAAATATATGCACTATTCCATACCCACTGACTTCTCATCTCTGCAAAGGAAGTTTCATATCCCTTCTCTGAAGCCATGCTTCTTTGTTATTTTGTAACATTCACTTCCACCTGTTCTGTGCTGATTATTCCTCCCTCACCCCTCCATTTCCATTGTTATAGTCATTATATAGGTTTTCATGGCTCTGCATATTTTACTCTTTATCAATTCTTCTAAGTCTTTCCATGATTCTTCATATATGTTATTTCTTATAGCACAGTAATATCCCATTACAGTAATGTACCACAACTTGTTTAGCTATTTCCTAACCAATGGACATCTATTTTGTTTGCAGTTCTTTGCTAACTCAAAAAGTGTTAACTAACTATAAATAGTCTGGCATATGTGACATAGTCTATTCTTTTCATCAGTGAATTCCTTGGGGTATAACCCTGGTTAGTGGAAATCTTTGGGTAAAAGTAATATGGACATTTTAGTTACTTTTTATGCATGATTTTAAATGGTTTTCCAAAACAGTTGTATACTAATTCATAGCTTCACCAGCAATTCAGTAGCATATCTATCTTCCCACAATTCCTTTAACACTGACTATTTTCATCTTTTGTCATCTTTGCTAAGTTAATGGGTGTGAGGTGAAAACTCAATGTTGGTTTGATTTGCATTTTTCTTACTACTGATTTGAAGCATTCTTTCATGTAGTTGTTAATAGTTTGCAATTCTTTTGAGAAATGACTATTCATATCCCCATTATTTATTGGGGAATGGCTGTTGGTTGGTCTTATCTATATTTGTTAGTTTATGTGTTAGTATGCTAACTTATTATACTGGTTAGTATACAAATTGGATACTAAACTTTTATCTGAGAAATTAAATGTATGATGACAGGCAAAGGGGAGAGAAAATGATCCCTATTTGCTGATGACATGATAGTTTACTTGGAAAATCTGGGGGAATGAGCAAAGAAATGACAGTATGAACAACAGAAGTGATGATGTTCAGGCATCATTCAGACTTGACCATTAATAATTACATTAACTAATGAGACAGAAAGAACCAATAAATACTTTCAGATGGTAGAGCCCTTTGGAAGGGCTAGTCCTATTCCAAGTGATGCTTAGAAGGTAAATTGGTGAGGGAAAAATCCTTATTTTGAAAGAAGAAAACAAAGAAAATTAAAGTTGACCTTTGGCTAGAAACTATGCCCACATTTGAAACTTCAGGCTCAAGATTTTATTCAGGATATACATACATACATACATACACACACATGCTATAATTTATATTAATTATTGCTTTAAAGCCCAGAATTAGTGTACAAATAATGCAATAAATTCTGATTCAGCTTTTAATTCCGACATCTTTTTTAGATTTTTATTTTGGTATGGATGTTTTAGATTCTCGCTCCCCCTCCCAAAAACGGATCAAAAAAGTAACAGGGAACAATGTCCTTTAACCATGCTTTTCTAGGTTCTTAGGTTTTAGAGCCAGGAAGGATGTTTGGGAACATCTAGTCCAATACAGTCATTTTATAGATAAAGAAACTGAGGCATGTAGAGATGAAATAACTTGCTCAGGATCATAGAGCTACACCAGGAACCTAGGTCCTTTAACTCCAAACCTAATCCTGTCTTCAATCTCTTTTACATCATAGGTCTTCCTTGAATAACACAAACGAAAAAATACCTATATTGATGACACATAGCACATAACCCCAATTCTCCTCCCCCTTTTAAAGACACAATCTTCCCACTTGCATTTCTATGGAGACCACTGAACTCCAGTGAGCTCAGTATTAAAATATAATTTATGTCCTGCTAATGTGAGGTAATGTAAAATGTTTTTGAGTAGCTTTATAAGGTAATATTCTTACTTCATCTCATGCCACTACCAATTCCTGTTATTTCTCATGCATCAAACTTTTTAAAATTACATTTTATTTTACTTTCAGTTCCAAATCAAATTCTCTCCCTCCTTCTCCCCTGTCCCCCACCCACTGAGAAGGCAAGAAAAACAACTCATTACAAATATGTAGAGTCATCATGCACCAAACCTTAATGTTCTCTCTGTTCCTTAAGCTAAAAATTTTAATTCCTTAGCTTTTCTATCCCAACATTAACAGTGTTAGCACAGTCTTTGAATAAATTTAGGCTTTTCCAGCTCAGTTCTTATCCTATATATCTAGAAACATTAACTATACCATCAATATTTTTGGAAGTAAGTGACCTACTGCATTCTCTGAACAACAAGCTACTTTTTCAAATCTGATCAAATCCTTTCAGGTTACTGTCAAGTCTATGCTGCCTATTTATTACAAAAACATTTCCTGAGCAACTACTATGTATATTATATACAAGGTACTAGTAGGGAATACAAAGGTGTTTTAAGATGCCACAGTATATTAAACATTAACATGTATGGCCATCATGTTGCTTTTAAAAGCTTGTTCTAAAGGCTTTTAGTCACATGGCAGTTGTAAAATAATGATTGCTTACCAACTTAAGGAGACTACCCTCAGAAATTTGATGAATAATTTTAAACAAGCTAACATGTCAAATTCACGAAAAGTACAGAATTTTCCATTAACCAAAGTGCGCTTCAAACATTTCTTTATAAAGGATATGAACCTCTACTATAGTGTTGATATTTTCAGTGAGAATTTAGAATTTCATCCTATGACACAAATGGAGAATAGACCACATTTACTAGAAAGTAACCATCAGTTCTAATTCTTTCTGTTCAATGATTAGTGTTTCTAATTTCTGATGTTAGCATAATTGTCTGATTTCTTTCTATTGCTTCTGTGTACCGAGCAATGACAATGAACCATTGTTAAGCCCAAGATTTAGAGATGTTTATTTAGGATATTATTAGATATTATCCCATGTCACCTCAATTTAAACACTTTCATTGCACTGTCCTCTAATTTGGGTGTACAATCTATTTTCCACAAACTCAAATTATTGCTTATTTTATTTTTAAACTTTCCATCTGTTAAGATGAACACATTTCTAGAAATGTGGAAGTCACTGAATATCCACTGGAAGTAGACAGTGGGTTTTTGGGCAGGGGGATTGGGAAATGATTGGAAATTCATACAACTTTAGCATCCTTTTACACATATACGATTATACTGTCATCAGTTTATGAAAATAAGAGACTCAGAAAAACAGGAAACTCTAGGGGAAAATGTTCTTAATCTGTTCATTTTTTCTTCAAATTCCTTTAGCCTTTATAACTCTAGTACTCTAATTGTAATCTTCCAAATAATAAAAGCTAGCCTTTATACAGCACTTTTTGCAAAGTGCTTTACAAAGTCTCATCTGACCCTCATACCAACTCTGAGATGTAGGTGGTATTGCTACTTCCATTTTATAGATGAGGAAACTGAGACAGGTAGAAATAACTTGCCTAGGCTCACAGAGTTAGTAAATGTCTGAGGACAGATGTGAACTCAGATCTTTCTGGTTCCAGGTTCAGCACTTGGCTGCCTCCAAATAGTATGCATATTCCATGACTCACTATGACATATTAATTCTAATACATTTTAATAGCTACAAAAACAATTTTTCCTGGTTTTCAAATAGTTAATTCAAATTAGAATGAGAAAAAGTATACTAAAAAGCAACAATGAACTATATAATGTATGTAAAATGTTAGCTAAGATACAGCCAGTCATTCCCATAAACTCACTATATGAACTAATTTCAGATACCTGTTATGAACTACCATAATGGTAACTCATTTTTCTTTTTATAACTCTATCATCAAATCAGTGTCTATTAGAGTTTCCAAGTATTCTTTCAACCACTTGTAAAAATTTTTTCATTTTTGTTACTCTCTTTCTTTTTTTGGGGGGGGGGAGGTGAGGGGGTTAGGCAATGGGGTTAAGTGACTTGCCCAGGGTCACACAGCTAGTAAGTGTTATGTGTCTGAGGCCGGATTTGAACTCAGGTCCTCCTGAATCCAGGGCCGGTGCTCTATCCACTGCGCCACTTAGCTGCCCCACTGTTACTTTCCTTATTGAGTTTTAGTTCACTGATCTTTTTTATGGGTCTTCTCTGTACCCCACTCCTCACTCTCCCTCTCAAAGTAATGGGTCATTCGCATATTATTTATTCAACTCTTCATTTTAGTGCTTGGACATTCAGTAGGCTGCATACTTCATCAGGAAGATTCCTAATACTCATCCTTTTCATTAGTATCTGGACATGCAGCTTTTCTCAATTCCAGCAGCATTCCAAATGGCTTTTCAAAATATTCTTCAACATACATATGCCTTGAAATTCATGCCAATTTACTAAATAAAGAATGACTTTACAAAGGTATTTGGCTAAGTGAGGTATGCTAAGAAACTGAAATTTCAAGAAAGTCAATACAATATTCCAAATGAAGTTACAAATACCACTGATTCAAAATAGTTAGTATCTCTTCACATTCTAGCTACCTTGAAAAACAGATTCCTAGACATGGAGGAAACAGAAGCACAAACACTTTCTTGAATAGTATCTAAGACTTTTTTTAAAAGGTAACATTAGAGATAGGAGAAAAAGTAGAAATAAAGTTATGAATATGATTTATGGGTTCATAGAAATACCTCCTCTCTCTGTACCCAACCAGATCAGGGGAGTCATGGTTCTAACCTTAGTCAAAGTATATTCAAAGGTACAGTCATAAATAGTATCCAAAGAGCCCTTGCATTATAAGAAGGCCCATAAAAAGGACAGGCCTTCTCTGAAGATAGAAATTTAATTTGTAGTTATTAAAGGGTCAAAGAGTTTTTTAAGTTGTCTTTTTGGGGGCGTGGAAGGGAGGAGAGGTGACTGCTAATCATTAGTCTTGTACAAGCCTAGCTTACGATGTTGATTAGAGACCTGGAGGTTTAAAATCTATTTTCAGAAGATTGTATTATAATGGCATACAGCAAGAGTTGGCAAACTATGACTTGTAGAACAAATGGTTTTAATCATTCTTAGCTTGTGGACCATGCAAAAACAAGTGGGCTGGATTTGGCCCACAGGCTGTAGTTTGCCAACCCCCTAGTGTATGTTGTTATTCAGTTGTGTCTGAATTCTTCATGACCCAATTTGGGGTTTTCTTGACAAAGACATACTGGAGTGCCATCTCCTTCTCCAGCTCATTTTATAGATGAGAAAGCAGAAGCAAACAGGGTTAAGTGACTTGCCCAGGGTCACACAGCTGATAAGTATATGAGGCCAGTTTTGAACTCAAGTTCTCCTGACTCCAGACCTGGCACTCTATTCATTGTGCCACCTAGCTGCACTACCCCCAACCCCCATATAGACACAGTGTATAACAACAACACATGTGGCAAGGGATGCCATAATTAATCTTTTCCTTTTCATCCCTTAGTTTCATCATTAAGTACAATGGAAAATAGCTGACCCTCAAAGAGGGCCCTTTTATTCTCTTTTGCTATTATTTTTCTAGGACCTTTTCTCAAACACATTTCTAAAAGGATTCATGTCTAAGTCTCAAGTGGAAAGTTTCATATTGTTAATGTGCTTGCAGAAAATTTCTGGTAAAGCTAATACTGAATAAAGACTCAAATAGAATATAATCATTGGTAGTCCTTCAGAGTATGCATTTTTATAATTTAAATACTTCTTATAATAACCTTTATTACATTCTCCTATAAAGATTATTTAGATGAGCTGTGTGTGTGTGTGTGTGTGTGTGTGTGTGT